TATATATGTATGTATGTATGTATATATGTATGTATGTATGTATGTATGTATGTATGTATGTATGTATGTATGTATGATGTGTGTGTGTGTATATATGTATATATATGTATATATATATATATATGTATATGCTTACTCTGCTTAGCTCCCTTTGCTCTTTTTTCCTTTTCCTTTAATCGTATTTTTTTAACATCTACAATCGCGTTGTTATCTCAAATTTACCTCAGCACGTGCGCAAACATAATTATGTGACGCATATTCAGAGAGTGATATGCAACCATTCGTACATAACACGTGAGTGTTTACCTTTGTGTGTATATTTATATATATAATTTACTCTCTTATGTAGTATAGACAACGCTACGTAAAATATAGTAAATACAAATTGAAACACGATTTCCATGGAGAGCAAAACGGCTTTGTCCGATGAAGAGAAAAAAGGGACGAGGAAGAGAAATGTCGTACGTACTTTTCTATCGGGAATCACAATGAAATGTATGTATGTATATGTGGATGTGTATGTTTATTGTGTATGTGTGTGTGTGTGTGTGTGTGTGCGATTCTGATTTTGCTGGGACTGTATTCGTTGTGATGCTAGCAAAATGTTCATTTTCGCACAAATTCACAAATCGTTAGTCTCTTTTTAAACTCACAAATCGAGTCGCGATTAATTGTTAAATAAATAATTTGGGAAAGTTATTTAGAACTTTTTGACTGAAATAATTTAAGCTCTTCTGGAATCTTCCAAAAGTCATTTCGTTACAAAATATGGATTATGGTGTTAAGAAAGAAAAAGGATTCAAAGTATCAGAAGTATATCGCTTGGATTTGCATTCTATTTTTCCTTGAAAAGAATATGGTGAAATGATATCATGTTTGTTAGAGTAAAAAGTTATATACCTGAGAGAATTTAAATCAAGAATAAGAGTTTCATCTCTAAAACTTATGAGAAATACGAGCGAGAAGCACGTTTTTACACAAATTAGACCGAAAAGTCGCTCATCGTTTCAAAAATCTCTGAATCCTTTTCTCCCGCAACATTCTCAACAACAATAATATACTTTTTAAATGAGGATGAAGAGAAGTTCAATAATACGAGAAGAGAGGTTCAATAATACGACAGTGACGTGGAAACAAGGGAAACGTAATCTTTCGCACATAAGTAAGGAAATGTCCCCAATATGTTTGATTTGGATAAAACGCATCTCACATTCAATTAAGATAATTGACCGAAACCAGGAAATTGAGCTCGCATCGTCTCGGAGTCTTGCTTCGTTCCTGAACAGGCTTACGAGTTATAACATCGCGCTTAATCGCGTATCGTCGTAATCTATCAACTTGGGCAACGGTCACTGAAGAACATACGGCGAGTGCAATAAATCCGCTCAATGTCTGCAGTCAGGTAATTTTACGTACGCACATGTTTATTAGGATTGGCTCAAAGTACAATGTCAACTTCATCGGAGCATCATACGCAAGGATTTTCGCAATGCAGATACATCCAACAGAGAGGGTGGAATTCAACTTCTCCCCTCAATTCCTTATGTATTCCGCATTATAAGGCAATTAAGTGCATCTTGCTCATTTGGTTTCGGATCTACTTCGTAGACTGCAACTAATTACACAGTATAAAGTACACAGGGTCATGAATAGTTATTCAAGAAACACTCGTTTATAAACGTACATATGTCGACTACAGATAAAAGACAAGTAAAACATCCAGGAAGATTAAAGTACATCCGAGGAACATGGTAATTAAAGGCTCGAACACGTTTTCATTCTTTGCAATAACACTTTCGTATTTAACTCGAGAGAGATTTCAAAGTTCCTCAAGTTTGCACATGGAAAATAAGACGGTCAAGTTCTGAAGTTCATACTATTGGAGCATAACGGATTTACGCGCTAAACATTTTGGCTCGTCGTTCGTTTTATCTTTATGTAAATGTATGCATGTATACACAATACACGCAATTTTTATGCACTCTTTTTTGTAAGATGCTATACGGTTTGCAGAATCACATCTCGCAAGATACAATTTGAAGAAAAAATTAACAGCATATTACAGATTATTTATACGACAATGAGCATGCAGGAAAAGGAGAGAATAAAGGGGAAGAAAATGGTACTCGAAGAGAGAAACAAATAACACTTATATGTACACGAGCATCTTTGAAATGTTCTACTCCCAGTAGAAACTTTACAAATGCGCATTCATATATGTGTATATACTCCGATATAATATTAATCGTGTTTCCTTTTCTTTACGTATAGAAGAAATAAGTAAACATATCTCTACTCAAAAATATAAAATATACTTGTAAGCTTTCGATGAAAATCAAACAAGAATCAAGAGTTTACCGTGATCGATCCACGATGAAAGATTTTATCTTATGCTTCTTAAACATGTAAGTATATATCCCAAGCATGGTCTTAAAAGAAAAAAACGCGTACAATTACTACAGTTATTTAAAAAATATGTCTTAAAATGGAGTGATTATATGTATATATAATAATGAAATTTTATTTTTAATTCCTTGTAATCATAATATACATCACAATACACAAGAATCTGAAAAATAATTATTAAACAAAATATTTAAAAATTAATGATTCAATCATTAAATATTGCGTTTAATATAAGCGTCAGGTTAAGTATTTTGCGAAATATTAATTTATAATTTATAATTGTTAAATGTAATCTCTCCACTTTATGACACCATCTTTTTCTATAGCGTAAATATGCCAAGGGATGGTCCGCTAATGCCAATTTACAAAATTACATTACATACACACATACAAGTTTGATTTCATTAAATGTTTAAAGAGTAGTTCTGCTTGTTTAAAAAGTAGTTCTTTCTAATGCATATTTATCTTCAACATAATTTACTTTCGTGAATTTTTCTTCTACTTTAAATACACGAAGTTCCACTGCACAACTATCTAAATCAAATTAAAAAATAACAAAAGTTCATACAGACTGCAGGTGATTTATTTTCTTGTACATTGTACCAATGATTTATTGATCGTAAAGCATACAGGAGTCTACTATAACGAGAATTATATTCTAAATAGTCGTCTGAAAAATATGCAGTGTCGTTGTTCTGCACCGTTATACCATTCACGACATTTTTCATTTATCTGTATAATAATCATTTCGTGTACCATTTTCCACTATTAGTGCGCCGGAGTAGTTATCTGAAGGTTAGGACCATTTAAGCGTTAGTATTACGGACCAACCCGGGCAATTTCACGTTCGTGTAACCCTATTTGTGAAAAGGGAACGCGCGTTGCGTTTCAAGCGCTCAGTACATTAGCGGTTGATTGTTCGATAGAATTTACGCCGCGTATAAGTGTCAATGAAGCCTCGTACTTCATTTGTCTCGTGACAACAAACATGTAATAACGTATACAGTACAATTTAGAAAAAACTTCGTTCTTCATTCAGTTTTTCCGGACCACAAGTTACCCTCGCGTGTTCGTTCCATTCTTCGACACGACAAACCGAACAGTAAACGCTAACGTCGCTTCGCCTTTACGAAAACCTTTTATACAGTACACTTGTTTGCAAACGCCTGCTCTTGCGTTTCTCAGCGGATAGATAATGTCGTATCGTGTAGCATGTCAGCGTGGAAGAACGTGGCAAGACTCGCTCGAAGAGAGTACTACACGCGAACGAACTGTATATCCCAAGGATGACTGCAAGAAGTGTGAGAAGTTATGTACATTATTATTATTATTATTTGTAATATGCCAACGGCGAATCAGCCCTTGCCCTTGTTCCATGTCACGTAACAGCAAAGATGGCGAGATTAAAGTTCGGAAAGTAGTAGGGCATGTGTGGATGAAGAGGAGAGAGGGCGTTTGAATAATTATTAATATATAATATTATAATAATAACAATAATGATGAGGTGTTCTAAACAGTGCTAGGACTAGTGCTAGGGGGTCCTGTGAAGAATCAGGGTGGATGGGTATGGGCTAAGGAGGGGTTAGTGAGGGGGCGGTGGTTCCGTGGATTGGTTTCTGCCGTCTACAGCCCTAACTGGCTTCCTACGTGAAGAGCCTGTCACTCCAACTGAGCCCACTCCACCTCTAAGATAAGCAGGCGCTGGAGCTGCTATCGGTTCTCGGATAGTTCCAGTACCGGTATTCCTAATTGGAGGCGGCAGTGGTTGCTGCAAAACCTGCGTGTCACGCAAAACTCTGTTAAGATGTTTTCAATATTAAAATATGCGCTGTATTCTACTTTATGATACCACTGCGTACTATCATCATTTGGAATTCGATATAGCGTATCTTGAAATAGTATTGAAATAAGAGGAAATTTCATGGCCGATATTGTACATGGCGATAACAAAACGAGACATGATAAATGAAATACACATTTGCTACGTAACACCATCTCCGAATCGAGCTACATCGAGTTACGCTACGTGTGTCGTAAGTTACTAATATCTTTTTGTCTATTATACTTTTAATTAATTCAAATGAAAGTAGCAACTGTTTTAATCTGTAACTGTGTTGTATTAGATCGCGTAAAGACGAACACTTACCAGTGACTGAGGTAACACACTATGCATCAATGTTTGAACTATAGGTGAATTTTGCGTCGCAATGCTGTTAGAATTCGGGGGTAAGCCCTGATTTTGTAGACCAGAACCTACACTGCCAGCAGCAACGGCTGCAGCAGTAGCAGCCTGTAGAATGTGTGATTGTTGCTGCGTTGACGGTTGTGTTACGTGTTTATTCGTCGCTTGATCCCTCTTTGCTTCCTGAGCTAAACTCAATTTTTTCGTGGAGACAATGGAAGTATTAGCGTTTGGTGTCTCGGGGCTGGTCGTGGCAGTAGTCACACTTGATGCCGGCGTTTGCACGGTACACTGCTGTTGAAGCAACTCTGACAATGTTTGGGAAAGTGTTCCGACAATAAGTTCACGTGCAAAAAGGCTCCTATTTGCACTTTCGCGTTCAATATTTTGCAGTTGTGAATCAGACAGTGTGGTTGTAATGCATCTGCACAAATGTGGAGAGGAGCAATCATCTTTATCAAATATTTTACAATTCCTACATACCATCCTAACAGTATAACTTGCTTCAACCGATATACATGTCGTTCACTTTCTCCTACAGTTGCGTGTATAAATACTTAATTTTTTAACTAAATGTATCACAACACGCGCGCATTGAGCAAGTATACGACCAATTACACCTTGAAATAGTGTATTGCCAAAAATAAGTACTTGGATATTTATAATATAATTTTGGCAACAGTTTATAATACGCAATTTTCTAGGTTACATATACGATGAGTTATTTTAAACAAATCAATCAAATACAAGAAATAATCAATCAATTGTGACACAAGTTTTGCAAAAAAAAATTGTTAGATAAAACTTAGAGAGAAGGGAAAGGGAAACAATTTTTGACATTATTATTTCTTGTGTGGGAGGAAATTTTCAATGTCATTTCAAGGTCAGCTTCACTTTCGTATAAAAAACGCTATTTATCACATAATAGTTCACATCCAAGTGAACGGAAAAAATGAGCAAATACAAAAGTAAGACACAAAATTACATTGGCAAACATTTAAATGACTTTCTTCCTGTCACATTCTTTCTTGCATTATTTTATATTGTATACTTGTGATCAAGATTTATAAAATAATATTCCGTAAAAATAAATGCACTAAAAATTAACTAAACAAAAAAGACACTTAATACTTAAATTAAGAAAAATTTTTAATTTTCAATATAGAATTATTTTTTCCTTAAATAATTTATAAAATCATTTATTACTTTTTCTTTAATCATTTATTTGAATGTTTTGTGGAAAAATTAATTACTTGTTTGGCCGAGAAATATATCTTTGTGCTCTTTATACTTTCTCCTCTACACAGATTTTTTCATATAATATCAAAGTAATTTTTATATTATCTATTATATATTAGCAAAGTATATCAATCAAAACGTTTTTACACAAATAAAGATACATTTCCGTTAATATTAGTCAAAAGATCTATTTGCTGCAACTTTAAAATATTTATGATATAATATAAAGAGAAAAATATAAAAAGGACATACCTGGGTAACAAGAACGTAAAGTTCTGTGAATTAGTAGAAGACACACCGGACGGGTTGGCCACATTGGTCGCGTTATTGTTACTACTCGTACTATTTGCCACCACACTAGCCATAGTAGTAGAATGACCGCCACTACTACCTCCACTGCCGCTCACCGAGCCGATTACTTGCGTCTGCCTCCTAGGTAATCGTTCAAGTTGTTGTCTAGCAGCCTAGAAATAATATTCCACTTTAATAATTACTTTTTAATACTATATTACACTCGATATTATACAGAATTATTAATCTTTCTATCAATACATAATTTTTCATTTCTTCATCCATGTACTAGATAAACCCGATATTTCAGTATATGAAAATAGATCTGTTCTTTTTAGTTGAACTATCTGGTGTATATTAATGCAATAAGTTAGAGTCAGACAAAATATATTTGTTTCACTCTAACTTATTACACCAGTATACACCAATTCAGGAAATTCTTTGAAAAAAAAAACAGACTCTAGATTTCTTTTTCTATTGTTAAACTGATTACACTAACTTGCACTAATTCTCTTCTCCTTTTCCTTTCACTAAGTCTCAACTGTATAACTTTTTTTAAGTTCCATAAATATACATTAATTCAGCGATAAAAAAACCTCTTATCCATATTCGATACACGCAATTACACGCAATTCAAAATAGGGACCCATGCATTAATAGAAGAGTTAATCATTCATCAAGTAAAATTAAATGTGAGAGAACATATGTACGCAATTTGATAAATTATTATAAAAAGTACGTTATGTGTCATGTTTTTATTTTTACTTTTCTTTTTCTTTAGTAGAATATTAAATTTGTTTGTACCCGAACTTGTTGTCGTTCTATTTGCAGCTGCATCTGCAATTGCTGTAGTTGCGTAGGTGCCGAAGAACTCTGTCCACTTCCACCTCCACTTCTACGTACACCCGATAATTGAGACAATAATTCTGCGATTGGATCTATGCCTTCTCGACTACTTGGGCTTAATCCTCCAGATGAACTGAAATGCATGTTGGACCTGCAGGTCCAATGATACTCCAATGAACATTATCTAAGATGAGGTGATGATGAACATTAATTTTGGTATATTTTCATGAAAGGCACTTTGTTTTTGTGATTTAAAAATTACGATAAAAAAATTACGCGTTAGAATTAAAATTAGAATTGCTTTAATTTAACTTTAGAATCCAATACATCTTACAAACAAAATACAGGCATTTTCGCTTAACGTCAGTAATTTATTCCTAAGTCCCAACTGCAAATTTATATTAACTTCAGTAGGAAAATATTAATATATTTCCATAATCTCCATCCATTACTAATCCATTTTTTACAAATTAGTAACAAACAATACAACATTTAGAATGTAACAATATTTTCACGAAGTCTCAAATGATATTTTATTGATGCATTAAAAAAAAACAGGTATTAATTTAGCTATAAAAGTATAACATAAAAATTTCCTGTGTGATGTGACAAAATAAAAATGAAAAGAAAAGAGAAAAGAGAAAATAAAGAAAAAAAGAATAAAATTTTTAACAATTGTTAAATAATTACATGTAAAGGATACTTACTAGAGGCTGTAAGCTACACGTTTACCAACAACTGAAGATATTGTGGCAAAAAATTGGAACGTTAAAGCCAGAAATGGTATAAAAAACCAAAAGATGTTTATAAAAACGAAAAAACGTTCACAGAGTTGACGTTATACGACGTTAAACCTGTACTCATTATTTTAACATGTCATATTGAATAATATTATCCTAACATTTCATAACAAATAATATTTATAGATAATTTATAAAAATTACATTTATAAATGTAATATAATTGCTACATAACACAAATATATATATATATATATATATATATATATATATATATATATATATATATATATAATGTGTGTGTGTGTGTGTATGTGTGTATTTTTATAAATTATCTATAAATATTATTTGTTATGAAATGTTAGGATATTATTCAATATAACATGTTAAAATAATGAGTACAGGCTTAACGTCGCATAATATCGATTCTGTGAACGTTTTTTTGTTGTAAACATCTTTTGGTTTTTTATACCATTTCTGGCTTTAACGTTCCAATTTTTGCTACAATGTCTTGTTGGTAAACTTGTAGCTTACAGCCTCTAGTAAGTGTCCCTTATATATAATTATTTAACAATCGTTAAAAATTTTATTTTTTTTCCTCGTTTTCTCTTTTCCCTTTCCTTTTCATTTTTATTTTGTCATATCACACAAGAAATTTTTATGTATATATATATATATATATATATATATATATATATATATA